ACCCCAAACTCGGAATGACAGAATCTATATGGCATACACAACCTGAGGAAACAGAACTCATCCAGTCTGGAATTATGAACACTCATCCTCTCTCTCTCCAACTGTGTTGGTAAGGTAAATTCTACTTGCAGCCAAATTATGGGGAGGACGTGGAACAAATTGATCTCATCCAAGGACCCAAGATGGGACCACTATTCATTCAGGATTACGAGGAAACAATGGACTCTCTTCCACGAACAATGTACTGAACCAATATTGATCAAAAAGAAGGACCACACTCAATCCAACTGGATAGCTAAGTGTCAAATTAGAACCAGTATTATGAGTAGGCTTCTGCATAGGCTGGTGCTTCTCCAACTAGCATCTGGGAAAAAAATATCCAGGGACCCAGGTAAGAGGGCCCCAACTTTGCCCTTTTCTCCAAGAATGGTGGAAAGTCACTTGAACTCTCTGGAGGAATAGTCACTGTCCACCATCCCACTGACTGGAAACCAGGTGTGATATGGACTCCCTAGCTCCACTAGTAGAAAATGGGGGTTACTGCACATTGAGGAGTCATGAGGGAGAATCCTCTGGAAACTGTGCAATAGGTGAACCAAGATCCCTAAATGTTTAAAAGCAAACATACCATAATTTATTCAATATAATTATCGGCAGGGACAGCCCCTTAACAATTCCAGATCTTGAGATATTGCCTTTTGCACAGCAAGAAGTTCTAAAACATTGATGGGAAGGGAAGCCTCATCATCTGTCCAGAGGCCCTAGAATTCCTGACCATTAAGGTATGTACCCAATCCCTGAAAAGATGAATCTCTGGACGAGATGGTGGCAAAGGAACACCTATCGTAGTATTATTCTGATCTAACCACCACTTGAGATCGAAGATGTTGATCTTGAATAAGGAGACCTGGGAATCCAGAAGATTACTGTTCATAATCCATTGATCACATAGAGACCAATGAAGGAACCTCATGTGCACTCGCCCCAAATGATGCCCAGATCTCCAAAAGAGAAAGGACCATCTGCATAATGTGAAAATGAGACATGAGTAAGAGTTGGACTGCTTGTTCCATAGCATGGAAATGGATAGAAGTTGGCTGAGCCTGACTGAAATACATGTTGAGAAAGACACCCAGATGGATGATATATTGTGTTGGAGTGAGAATAGATTGTTGGACTCTAATAACAAATTCTGCCTTGATTGTTTCGTAAAGCAGAATCTGGATGTGATGTTCTGCCAACTGATGAAATGGTGCCAGTAGTAGCCATTTGTCCATGTAATGGTGTGTGCACAGGCCCAGAGAATGGAGGTGACGAGAAAAGGTTCAAACAATGTGGCAGAACACACATGGTGCCGATGCAAGTCCGAAGGGTAGAGCCCTGAACTGCAGCACCTGACCACAGTGCACAAAATGCAGATAGCGGCGGGACGACTCCACTATGGGAACATGCAGATAGGCATCAGTGGCATCAAATTTGGTCATTCGTAGTCCTGGCAAAAGATGCTAATGCAGAGTGAGGAATGACTCCATTGTGTACTTTGGAGGATCTAGGAATTGATTTAGAAGAGAAAGATCAATGATCAGACACCAATATCCCATCTTCTTCAGCACAACAAACAAACGGGAATAAAAGCAAAGCTCCCTTGATCAACAAATCTGTGATAGCTGTGGAATAAAATTACAAAATCTGAGGAAATGAGGGAGACAGAAACACTACAAGTTGGGGGGGGGGATAATGGTGGTGGAGATGTGAACTGAATGACTAATCCTGATGCAAAGACCTGTAATACCCATGGATCTGTGGTAAAGGTTTTCCACACATCCAGAAATTCTTGGAGCAGAGACCCCAAAGGAATACAGTAGTCACCACTGTCTGCATTTCAACTGAGCAGAGAAACCTTGTGGATATAGGCAGAATCTATTCTGAGTCCTAGTGGCCCAAGGGGTTGATGTCGGGACACTCAAACAGGGGCAGAACTACAAACCCCTGTAGGAGCCCAGGACAGTCGAAAAGCCCATGATGACAGAAATGAATGACATCAACCCTTGATTCCAAAGACTCTGGAATGTTCACAAAATTCAAGGGTCGAAGAAAGGGAGCCTCACATAACTCATGGAGGGTGACAGCAGGTAGATGAACACCCTCCAACAACAAACCAACCAAGAGACTAGGGAAAGTGCAGATAATGACATTCGAACCAAGGTGTATGCTAACAATGGTCGCAACTCATCATCAAAGTGATGTGCTGATTGCTGAGAGGCTTCTGAAAAAAAAGGTATACAGATGATAAATATCTCAGCACCGTAGTTAGAGTCATTTGCATCCTAGAAGATTATGATCTATTCAGGTTGACCACAGACTCTGTTCTGGAACCCCACATTTCCAGGAGTAGTTCTATTCTCTGAGGGTCTAAATATGCTTCCACCTTGCAGTGGTAGACTAAAGCAGATTGTTCTAACAAATGTGGTGAACAAGGCATTGCTGTTCCTTCATGTAAGTGAGCAGTAAAACTCCCAATTATACCACAATATCAGGGGATGTAGGGAGAACTAAGTACTCGCCATCAGACCTTTTTGCCATTAAGGATGGCGTACTCTCGAAAGCAGCTGTGGAAAACCCAAAATGTCACACACTCGAATTTCCAACCAAAGAAATAAAGCAGGAGACACAGCTAATCCAATTTAGCCTCATGGGAAGCCGACAGAGCAAAGGAAGGGACTGGAAAAAGTGAATCTAAATTTCCTCCAGAATGTCCAGGAACACCCACAAGTGCAGCCTCAGAGCCTCCCCCCACAGAGAAACACCACCACTGGACCAAATATATGTCTCTTTACAATAGATTAAATTCTCTTATTCATATCTCATTTAACATATCAAAACATCTTTCTTTTAGATTACATGCTGTGATTCAGTGTAAGCATCAAAACATATTTATGGTGGACTAAATGCTGCGATACTTACCTCAATTAAGTATTGAAACATCTTTACGGCAGATTAAATGCTCTGATTTTTACTTCTGTGCAAGTATCAAAATGTAGGTTAAATGGTATGATTTTAACTCTTTATAGTATTGAAACATCTTTATGGTGGATTAAATGCTTTGATTCACACCTCCGTATAAGTATCAATACATCATTATTCTGGATCAAATACTCTGATCCATACATCAGTGTAAGTATCAAAACGTAAAGGAAAAAAACAGAAACATATAATACTCTACTGCTATTGTATACAATAATGGCAATAATCTTCATTCATTTTTCAACACATAAGAAACAAACTAAGTGAAGCTCTAACAGTTTACAGCTTTTATTTTAGTTAAATTATTATCCTTTGAAATAAGTTGTGCAATATTTGACCCTATTTATATTAAACAGTAACTAAAATTATATTACATAAAGTTGGTACTTTCACAGCTTTTAGTTATTATAAGTATTACTGAATAAATATATTTAACTTTATAATAAATGTGCATAAAAGTAGATGATAAACTAAAATTTAAGCATCATTATTTAATTCTCAGGCATCCAACAACTTACGTAATGACTACATACCTGAAAAACATTTGGAAGTATAACATCAGCAAATGCTTCTTCCCATAATGCTCGATCTGCCTTAGTAGCCAGTTTGTCATTATACTGAACTAGTAATGAGAATTAAAATATTCTTCACTATGAATTCCATTTTGAGTTAAATTTTAAAGAAAACATGCTTGATGCTGTATACAGATATGTTTAACAGATGTTTATTGTCTTCTACAACTTTGAGTACCACATCATAATGTTAATAAAATTCTTCACAACTGAAACTGTAATCATGATTGGGTTTCTTTCACAATAGCATTTGAAAAAATGAACAAAACATAATATTAACAATCAATCTACATATGGGTGTAGGTAGACAGACTGGGTTCCTAATTGCTAGGTGTCCATATTTTTTTGAGAAAAAAATTTTTGCTACCTATAATTTGACATATTTGGCAAAGTACAAAAAAACAAAACAAATCGTACATGTGTTGGTAGATGGCTGCCACTTTACCAGCAAGGAAAGCATTCACTTATGCATTACTTAAAAGTCTGCTCTATGGATGAGTCATTTCTGTCACTTTCTGTTAAAAAGAGAATAATGCATGTATGCTCATAACAAGCATGCACTGATACATTCCTTATTATAGCTCTGCCTAGGCACAAACTAAAAAGTACATACTGTAGTAATTAGTTTTTGCCTTTGAGTGAAATCCTACTATATACTAAAATAATTTCCCTAATTCACAAATGCTTTTGGAGCTAAAAACTAGTGGTGACACACATTTTTTTTTTTACTATGGCTATGTCTCTGAATCTGCATACCTGTACACCTTTTGTTACCAATGGCATCAAAGAATAGGTGAATAGAGACAGCAGTGTCTTCTACGCTTTGGTTTAAAGCTCTCTGAAGCTGTTGGAAATTCAGTTCCAAATGCTTCCATATGAATGGTACAACATCTTGTACTGGTGGCTTTATCACTCCTCGAAATTCCTGAAACATTTCGAAAAATGCAGATGTTATATAATTCAATGTGTTAAAAAAAATTCATAAGGTTATCCATACTAGCCTGAAGTAAACTATAGTTATTTAATGGAGTGAAAACTTCAATGTATTATAGTATAGAAATTCTCAATATAATTAGCATCTAATGCTGGATGGCAAAGAGGATCTTACACATATCATTTTACATACAATCTTTAGATAAAAATGAAACCAGTAACAATTTCTACAACCTACAATTAAAGAAACAGAAAATCATGAGATGAAAAAGAAATGTAATATACTGCGAATGACTTACATGTAGTATTACAGAAGTATTCATGAAAGAAAATTAACATACAATAATGTTGAGTACGGAACAAATATTATATTTAATTTATTCTTCTCTGTAATTAATTTTGAAAACAAAACATACTGGACTTGATAACGACAACTATGTATATGTACTGTGGTCTCCATTCTTATCTCAGCCTGAGTATTTGTGAATTCCTGCAACAGACATTTCATGAGGATAAAATATTTTGAGATAAAGAAAAAAATAAAATTAGTGATTGTACTGATTGTAGAGAAAATTATTTCTGAATCAATGTCATAATAAAATTTGGGCAAAATGTGTTATTGCTCCTATTTTGTCATCAAGTACAATAATATACACCATCATTCCACAGGAAAACAGCCCCATGGGCATAATTTTACCCAGGGACATGTCCCCCACACTTTTTCAAAAGTAAAATGAATATTTTTCATAGAATACTTTTGAAAGTTATAATTTCCTTATACTGAAAATGTATTTCTGATAGGTACTTCCCTCTTCTCACAAAATTAACTATTCTTGTCCAGTGCTGCCCTCTATATGCAATTTTTTATGCATGCCACAAGCCTTCTGGAAATCAAAGAGTCAGATCTGAAGATCTAATGTGGGGAACCACATCACTTTTAAACCAGGTGTAGTCTTTACCCATCCATGAAATGTGTAGTAGATACGGGTCTAGAAAGAGAGGAGCACACCAAAGTGGGAGAGAATTGTAGCAGGATAGTGATCTTAACCATGTAAATATATATATATATATATAACCCAATCTCATAAAATATAAAAGTGGATAAAATAATACATGTGCCCCTAGGTGTAGAGTGGCTAGGGTGTGATGGACCATACTCGGTAAATCAACTACA